TTGTTACTTCTCATACTGTGGTTTCCATTCACCACTGGACGTTACATTCCCAATATTCTTTTTGCAAAAACTGAACTTAGATGACTTTTGAATAAGCCAGCCTAGTTAGTTTTCCAAATAGGTCTCATCTGGGCATTTTTTTTTTTTTTTTTTTTTTTTTTTTTTTTTTTTTGCTTGGGATCATCACATTGAAGAGTCAATGAATTAGTAGAGAAGGGAAACCATAAACTTTGTGTAGCATAAAATTTCTAATTATTTATTTAAAAAAAACACTTTGGGTAGTAAAAAGAATATAGATTTTTTTTGCAACATTACTGTTGATTATTCCAAAGGGCCACATTTTCAGTTTCTTTATCCAGAGATGTATGTATGGGGTTAATAGCAGAAATAATGCTGCTATTAGGGGAAGGCTTTTTGACCGATTAAGTCAGTGCAAGTATAACTCTCAGTCTCCCTAGAGGTCTCTGTGGCATTTGGCAGCCTTCTGGGTTTAGAGGACACCAGACGAAGACAGAAAGCCTCTTTGGCTTGACAACAAATCACTCTTCTCTGTTCTGGAGAGGCTTTTTAATTCATTCGTGTCAAAACATCCCAGACTTGTGAGGAAATGGAGGTGATCCTTGCTGGGGTGGATAAAGGTTTGGAACGCAGTGGAAGGGCAGAAGGTAGAAAGGGCTAAAAGGCCACACAGTCATGGAAATTCAGATTTAGGATCAGAAGTTGGGATGACTATTCCAGGCCCTTTGATCCAGGCTTCTCCATGGCTGGGTCTTGGGACAGCAGAGATACAGCATCCGGGAAATAAAATATCATTTTCAAGCATATGCATCCCCAAGACCTAGTCAGCCCCTTCTGCCTTTCAAAAATGAAAGGAAGCTCCTCTCACCCACTGCCTCCCTCTGTTCTCTACCACCGACCCTGAAATTTATTGCAACCACTTTTCGTCATTATAGGAACACTGCAGGTCAGGCACACTTTCCCAAAGATGGAGCTATTCCATGCATCCTTGAGCTTTAAGAGAATCATTCCTGGCACTTGCCCACATGCACGAAAATAATACTTACAAAACAGAATGCACACCATGAGGAGAAGAAACGGGGTAATTTTTCAACCTGCCACTTTCTCCCTTTCTTCAAGAACGTAAAGCAGAATGCAGGAGGAAATCAGGAAATGGTCAGGCGAGTCTACATTAGCTTAGTGTTTCCGTAGCATGGCCCGAAACAGACTGAGGTCTTCTGCAAACACTGATGGCTAGTTATCCCAAATACATCAAAAATTCTCATATATATGAAATACACTAATTAACAGAGTAGAACTATATAAAAGGTTTAGTTAATATTATTTGCTGGTTTTATGGTATTTAATTTTTAAACTAGAAAATCCTGATCTGATAAAGTGTCATAACATAGCAACTATCTTGTCGGGGGCACTTTTTTTTTTTTTTTTTTTTTTTTTTTTTTTGTGGCAGGCACTGTGCTAACAGGCTCCCCATGCATAAGTATTCCCCTCTCTGTCTCTAACTTAAAATAAAATGGGTATCATTTCATGTCATATATGCACAGGTTTGAGTAGAATAAGAATGGGATAATGCAGGTGATTCAGAAATGACAAATGCTTTGAGGAATTTTTCCTACATCTCTGTTGGTGCTATGAAGTGGTTTGCCACCAACAGAGAGAATAACTCGGGAGAAATCACTTGTCTCACTAAAGTCTATATCCACAGTTTGGAGGATACTCAGGGTAGATCCAAGAGTGTTTCGTGTTTTGAAGGCTTTTCATTTGAGGAGGTTGGGGTGGAAGTGAGTGTCCAACAGAATTTCTGTATGTGAAGGAAGATAAACCTAAAACCATGCTAGCCTTCGGCAGACAGATGGCATCGTACTTCTTACAGAGCACAGTACACATACGGCTGTTGGTGCATGTCACCACATTCACAACTCTGGGACGAGCAATACACAGCTAATTGGACACCACCATGGCTGTTTGGAAACGGAACGAGTTATGGTTACTCTGGGAGGGAAGGGGCAACAGATACTATACAACCCTGAGTCATCACCAGAAGGGAGGAAATGCAAACTTACGTACATAGGCGTCTTCGGGATAAACTACAATGGCCACTGTGTCACAGACAGAAGATCCACACTTAGATCTCGAAGACATAAATGTGTTAGTTTATGCAGCTCTGAACAAGACCATCGAAGCCGAGGGTGAGAGAAACACACATCAACATCCAAAGAGATTCCTGTAGCTCTCTCCACCTGAGGGTCCCTCGGGCCTTTGGCTCCAGATGTGTCTTGGAAATGAACTATAATGAAGGTAGCATAGTCACCACGAACACACTGATTTGCTATTCTTTGGGGGAGCCTGGAGTTCTTGGGGTGAGCCTGGGCTGTGATGGAAGGCATAACGAGAAAGCTGAAACTGTTACAAGCCACACTTCCTAATCTCTTGCACATGTCAATCTCACTACAGTGCAGATGCATTCTTAACTGTTTTTATTTTGTCTGTGTCAGGTTTACATGCATACCATATTGCTTATTCTGAATTAGAGAAACCATTAGGCATTTCTGATGAGAAAATTACATGGTGGACTGACCTTAATGGAATTTGGAATATAGGAAATCATAACATCACCATTGGCATCCAATGCATCATTATTGCCATCATACCCAGTAGGCATGTCCCGGAGACTTGCCCTTATGTAGTTAGTTATTTTTGGTTAAGGACTCACCATGCTCAGCACACACCTCACAAGATTCCTTGAGTGGAAAATTATGGCATGAAGCCATGTGCAAAAGAGCCAACAACAACAAAAAAATACCTCCCTACATCTTCTTTCTCTTAGCAGGGCATTATTGGACGTCCAACATTTACCCTCCAGAACGTTGGCCATTACGTATGTTTCCCTATAGATAAAACATTAATGGAAGATTTTTAAACATCAGATTCCATACTAGGCATTTTCTTGTACACACGTCTATTGCTGCAGGAATTTAAAACCCTGGGGGTAGAGTACATATTATTCTTATTTGCAGCATAAGGCATAACATGCTCCGAAATATACACATCATTGTGGCCCCGACTGTCCCTGGAACAGTACGATGCCGTTGACCTCAAGGACGACCGAAGATAGCTGTCATTCACCGCCTGGGATGGCAACGAGTGTTTGTAAGGGTCCGAGGGGCATCTCCCAATAACCAAGCGTTGGTCATCCCTGTGGGAGTGGAGGAAAGGGTTATCGGAGGTGTGGTCTGGCAAGAGAGACTTGCTCCTCTTGCTGTCCTCCAGACCTTGGGGGAAAAGGGAGCTTTTGTTCCCCGAGAGTTTGCTTGAGGGGACACTAAACAGGCTGCCGTAAAAATTTCCCTCCAGAAGCCGTTCCCTGTCCTTGAGGCTTATGCTCCGGGAGGGCCTGCTAAGGTCTAGCTCCCTAGGTTTGTCGACAATGTTATCGTAGGAATGCTGACGGCTAATCCTTAGCTTGTTCTTTTGTAATTGAAGGGCATTGTTCTGTGCCCAGTCCTGCTGGTAGACCTGCTCCCGGGTGGCTGGGTTACCTGTCTCCTGAAGCATCTGGTCTTCATCGATGTCATAGAGGTTCCCCATCCGCAGGCAGGCATCACACTTGAAGGGGGACCTCATGGTGAAGTGGCCTGAATAGGTGGGCAGGTTGGAAAGGCAGCTTCTGCAGTGCGTGGAGTTCTGCCGGTATCGCTCGCTGGTCTCGCTGTGTGGGGAACCCTTGTCTTTCAAGGTGAAGTGCTTGGAGTAGAGTTTATACTGCTCGGTGTCGGGAAGCCCCTCTTCATTATGCAAGGGCTTCCGGTTCATTGGCAGCGTGGAGTCCCCCTTGCGGAAGTTTTCACTGTGATCCTGGTAGGGGTCTGGGAAGTCCACGTTCTCGGGCAGGGTCACATTTTCAACAAACTGGGGTGGATCTAAGTGAAAACCAGGCTCCTTCTCACCATCAATAGTGTAGATCTTGTCTCTCGGGGAGCTTGATTTGGTTTTCAGGTAGGTGCGCTCGACCTCGCTACAGTCCTTGGGGTATTTGGAGGCCACTGACCTTTTAAAGTTGTCCTTGGTTTTGTGGTTCTTACTGTTGTCAGGTTCCCTGTGGCACGTGGCCCGATTTGACGTTTCTGAAACGTCAGAATGGGCCATCTCTTCTGGAAGATACCTAGGGCTCTTTAGGGAGTGGGTCCTATTCTCCGCTGTTCCCTCATCCCTCTGGGAGACTGGATTCTGGGATAGTGAATCCTGGCGTATGGAATCCATGGATTTCTTCCAAAGTTGCCGGGGTCTAGAGTTCACTTTGGATTCTGTGCTCACAGCCACCTCCACCGTGTTAGGGTTGGACTCATTGAGAGTGAGAGGATGTTGTCCCTGGAATACGTAGTTATTGAGGTTATCCTTGTGCCGGTTGGCCACAAATGTCTGGAGTTCGTTCATGTTGTCTCCAAAAATGCTCTCTTTCCCCTGAAAGGACCTGTTGTCCGAGTACATCATATTCCCCTTATCTGAAACCATGTCCATGATGAGGGAACCTCTTTGGATGAAGTCAGCAGCTCTTTTGGGTGAGTCCATTCTTGAGGAGTTCATGTTGGACATGTTGGAAATGTTTTTGGCTGACCGGAGGAGTTTTAACATGTTGCTCTGGGATCCTGTCAGATTGAAGTCTGGAGACTTCTTCTTTTCTTCAATGTGCACTCCATGAATGCAGCTGTAGATGCCCTGTAGGGGAGTAACATAAAGCACCATCAGCAGCAGCAGCAGTGAACGTGAAACCACTTTGCACTTGAACTTTACCTGCAAAGGTGAGATTTGTACTTCTTGCAGGAGCCCTGGAGAAACAGCGAAATTCAGTCTGAATCCTGATAACGTATCTTAAAGGTTTGAGACAAGTTGCAAAGCATAGGGTTTACCTTACTGTTCTGGTTCAAGATTAGCTGACACCTTTGCAAAAAGTCACACATGGAGTTTGAGAAAAGGTATCAACCGATGCTCATACAACTGTCAGTGCCTTGGTGTCTCCAAAGTGGCATATAAGGACAGATAACTGAGCCTCCCAGCCCCCCGGGTCACCAATCCAAGCTTTTGTTAAAGTTTCCCAGCATCATCTTTGAAGTTCAGGCACCAGAGAGTTAACTACTGACACAGTCAGCATGAAAAGATCATCCATTGTTAACTCTTTGCTGGAATTACCCCTACTGTTATGCGAAAGCTAACAACCAAAGAATTTGTCCTGAGTGGCCAATCAGAAAATCTCTTCTCCATGCACACATTGATTCATCTAAAGGCAGGCATGAAATTCATGTGAGACTCACCATACTCTTTTTGTGGGGGTAGATATGGAAGCTTGGATAGAAGGAGTTGCAGTCTTACCATCATGTGGGGGTGTGAGCCTATCAGTGAAGCCATTGTAGTGAAAAGTAGAGCCCAAGGAATAGAGAAAGACATAGTTTCAACCCCTGGAGCCAGTCTCTTGAACCTTTTACTTAATCCACTCAATCTATTCCTTGTATGTTTGTTTGTGTGTGAGTCTATTCAACGTAGCTAGAACTGGGTTTTAGTTACTAGTCATAGTGAAGAGTTCTGGTGACACAGTGACACCACCTTGAAATCCATCCAGGGAACTGAATGACTTAGGGGCTCCTGGGCAGCCCAAATACAAGCACCTCCATCTATATATCTCCTCGTTTTCTACTCTTTCTTCCTTTTAGAAAACAACTGTTTACGTTCACTTAAAAGTAGCTGTTTAACTGTTATCACGGGAAGAGCCCGTGATTCATACCACAATAACAGGCAAAAGGACGTCTGGAACATTTTGATCTGTGGCCTCCCCTGCTTCTCCCCACTCCTACCCCAGATTTCAGCAGCCATACCTACAGGAAACAGTCAGATCAAGGCTGCAGGATTTGACCTGGTCTTCCCAAGGCTGACAGGGAGCCAAACTACGAAGGGGTTTGTAGGGCAGAATTGGCAGTTGCTGCTGACTTTGGCATAAACTACAGGAAAGTATGTGTGATTAACTGTGGACTCTGATAATGGTGGCTCCATCGGTCCCCCATGGTGGGGACGAGCTCACCCTGCAGGGATGCTCACGGAACTGTGACAGCCTCAACTCATTTGTACTGCTACCTTTTTCTTGTAGTAGACAGTCTTTCCACTCCAGCCTTCAAGGAACCGTAAACACAAAAGCCTACAGTTGCAAGTTTGAGCTGCTCTTTCTCTGATCCTCTCCACCCCAGGCTTCATGGTTGGTGAAGGCCCCCTGAGGCCTAGGGCACTAGCATTACACCCTTTCCTGCCTTCCTGCAAACTTATCTGTGATCTTCTTCTACATATAATGTGTGGTTGGCTGTTTGTCCTGCCACAAAATAACATCTGCCCCTGCCCTCATTGCTTCCAGAGCTGCTGGAGCATCCAGACTGTGGATGTGGAAATCTTACAAATGAGTCCTGTATTTCACATAGTACAGAGTTGCTTAACCTTTTATGTTAACCTATGTTTTTCTCACCTAACCTTGTAATATAATAATCTTATACTCTGACCCAGAGAGATTCTCCCACTATGGTTGAAAATTAGTGTGACTCTATTTGTCAGAATCAGCCTAGGTCTGTGCCTTTTCTTCCTGTTAGTATCATGAAAAGAGAAGTTTTTAAGATTTTTTTCCCCCTAAATTTGTACTTTGATTCCAACACACTCCCTTCTGCCACCTGGAGATTCTAAGAACTGCCCTCCACCCCTCCACCCTCAGAGCAACATGCTCCTGACTGCCAAGATGTGCTGGCTGTCTTTCTATTTGGAGGAGGCTCACAGAAGTGATCAGGGAGATGAGTTATGTTGCAGGAGATGGGAGGATGGCTGTTGATGGCTCTCTCTCATCCCTGGTTTTCCTAGGACACATGCAACATGGCTAAGGCTGTTCCCAGGTGTTGATCTGCCCGGTGAGGCCATGGAAAAAGTCAAAGGGGTGGACCCAGTCTCTACCCCAGATTGGTTGTTTGTTTAGAGATGGGGTCTCACCCTGCTTCCCAGGCTGGAGTACAGTGGGGCAATCATGGCTCACTGCAATATCAAACTCCTGGGCTCAAGCAATCCTCCTGCCTCAACGCCCTGAGCAGCCAGGGCCACAGGCACGAACCATCATGCCTGGCTAATTTTTTATTTTTTGTAGAGATGGGGTCTTGCTATTGCCCACGCTGGTGTACCCCAGGTTTTGGCAACAGCATTCTGCAACTGATTTGATACATCTTCTGGAAGGGCTGTTGAGGAGAGGGAATGCATATTACAGAATAACACAAAGAGCCAGAGGCCTGGAATCCACTAGATGTGAGTCCTGGCTCCATTATGGATTAGCTCTGTGACCTTGCATAAGCCACATCTATTTGAGCTTCAGTTTCTGCATCTAAAAAATGGGAATTATGCCCTCCTAAGGTAGGCACCAGGGGAAGGTAAAATAATGCAAATAAAGCCCCTAACACCATAGGTGGTCAGTACATGTGAGCTGGACAAGCTGCCCAGTCATCTCTGACCTTCCCTTCTTTACCATTACCTTGTCCCTTTCCCAGGAGCTTAAGCATGCGGTACCCATATGGTTGAAGCTGCAGGAAATGCATGCCACTCTCTACTGCTTAAGATTTGCTCTTGGTAGCCACTCTGACTTTCTGCTTAGACAGGCAGACCAAACCCTACCTTGGGAACCAAGTAAATCCCTGGGCTAGAGTTTCTTTCTTAGTTGCAATAGCTCTGTCTTTAGTTTCTCTTCTCTATTATTTATAGATCCCAGCTACATTTTATGGATTGTGGAAATAAGATGCCCTCTTGGTCTCACAGTGGGCTCAGAGTCAGGTAAAACCAGTGTTGATGACTCAAGGTGTTGCCCCAGGAAATTTCTGTGCTCTCCTGAAGGGCGCCTGACCTCTCAGAATATTATCCGTGGGGCAATGACCTCCTCAGTCCCTTTGAGCCTGGACCCCATCCCTAAAGCATCTGATTTCCGTTGGTCCCAATTGTGGGTTAGCATGAGGCTTTGTCCATTCTGCTCCAAGCTTCCCTCATCAGATCTTGCTGGAAACGCTGCCCATTTTCATTCCCCTCATTTTTGGCTTTGCTATGTCTCTCATGCCTCATGGAGGCAGCTCTTTTTGCTGATGACAATGAATTATTTTATTCTACATGGGAGGGAAAGCATTTTGGAGAGAAAACAAAAGTTAAGAGCATCCCACAGGCAGGACGATGCATTTTTGGATGTCGTAAAAGCCAAGGGCCACCGCCCTGGGAGAAGCTTGGTTCCAATGTTAAACAAATGCCTTTTTGGAGTGCTGGACTTCTCCCTCTGCAGTGCCAGGCATGCACGTATCTCTAGTGTGTACTTGCATTGCACTGTGCCGAGGCTTCCCTGGGGATGTTGAGCCTGTAAGGAGGGCTAGGTAAGTCTGCTGCATGGTAATAGCTCTACATCTATTGATGTTCAACTTGCTGCAAGGAGAATAACTGGTAATAGAGAGATCCAGTTTCTGTGCAGAACCAAACCTGCCTTGGGGAGGGAGTGAATTTCAGAGCATCCAGGATCAGTGTCTTTAAGAAGAAAAAAAACACTTAAATTCTGGAGTAGACTAAAGCCTGCAACCCAACCCCGCATAAACAGACTAGTTCCCTCTTTCACATCTTTTTCTAGTGTGATAGATGAAGTGAGATGTTTCCTGTTGCTTTAAGGAAACATACGGTAAAACCATAAAGGTAACCTTTGGGGACTCAATTTCAGGATAGGTCTGGTCATGTCAACCTCAGAGGGCATCGTGAGGATTAGAAGTAACAAGTCCTCATCCACACGTGAGGCATAATTCATTCTGTAGTTGTGATCTCACACTTGTGGAAAGTAGCTTCTTTGCCTGGGAATTCCCCACTGCGGATTTTGTTAAAGAAATTGATTGTGTGTACATAATGAATTCACTTTTGTTTCCATGTGTGTTCTCCGTGCTGTGTAGGCCAACATGTAAGATGATATATGTGTGAATGTCCACAGAAGACAAGCTTCAGTGGTGGCAGTAGCCCTTGACTGAAAGGAAGGTCATTTTTCTTTTTTCTTTTTTTTTTTTAAAGAAACTCAGAGCTTTGCTGTGCACCACATCAGGAGCTGAGCCTATTTTGAGTACCCCTAATTAATGAGAGAGGCAGGAAAGAATCACTCAGGACGACATCTCCTATTTAGACACAGCAGGCTGCACTTACTTGAAAAGACAAATATTATCTGGGGAGAAGGAGGGTCCCCATAAGTAGGGCTCCCTGAAACCGCTGAAGCAATAATGGCGTCTGAGAGTTCCCAAGGGAGCACAGAAGTTCCCATAAAAGCACATTGCTCTTGGCCAGGTGCAGTGGCTCATGCTTGTAATCCCAGCACTTTGGGTGGCCAAGGTGGGCAGATCACAAGGTCAGGAGTTCAAGACCAGCCTGGCCAATATGGCGAAACCCCATCTCTACTAAAAATACAAACATCAGCCAGGTGTGGCCGGTGCCTGTAATCCCAGCGACTCGGGAGGCTGAGGCAGGAGAACTGCTTGAACCCAGGAGGTGGAGGCTGCAGTGAGCCAAGATTGTGCCACTGCACTCTAGCCTGGGCAACAGAGGGAGGCTCCATATAAAAAATTAATACATTAATTAACTAAAATAATAAATAAAAGCACATTGCTCCCTATAAAATTTGGGGTTCTTCTCCCCTAGGGATGGAGTGGCCAAAGTGCAAATTCCAGCTGATCGAGGAACTCCACCAACAATGCCTGCCCTGTGCTGCCCAGTTTGCCTTCCATTCCATCCTTTGGAAAGCAAGATATGGGTTTACTTCATTTCTTAAAATGTTGATAAATCAACTTGGCTTCCTTAGCGGTGTTTTAGATAGAGGAAATGCTCTTCCAAAAACAAGCAAAATTTAGAAGTAAACGCAACAGTGTGCATTTGTTTGGTGATAATCCCAGAATCATTTGGATATGAAATGCCTTTGGTAATTGGCTGGGAGAATTAGCTTAAAGTTGGCATAATACCTAGCTTTATGCACGTACGTTGTTATTTTTAAGCAATCTATGTGTTTAGATGCCATCAAGCTAATTAGGAAATATGTATTTGCACAGAACCCGAGTTTGGAGTGCAACTGGAGAAAATAAATCTTCCTCGCTAAACTAATGTGTACTTTCCGAATCTCCACAGTTCTTGAAACTAGCAAATGCTAAGAATATACAAATTTGTTTTAAAGCAATTATTTGGCTTTCTCAGTAAACAATAGCATATAAAATTAGATGTTTTTTATTTATTTATTTTTATTCTACTTTAAGTTCTAGGGCCCATGTGCACAACGTGTAGGTTTGTTACATATGTATACATGTGCTGTGTTGGTGTGCTGCAATTAGATGTTTTTAACCAAAAAGTTTTCACCATTTTTCAAATCCTAATCAATGAAGTTCTTCCAAGGCAAAACCAAAATAAAACAAAACAAAAAACAAGGTGGGCAAATAAGAGAGATGAGTGGATGAACAGATGGATGCGTAGATGGCTGAAATTAATGAATGGATATACAGATAAGAAGGCAGATAGATATGTATTCTGTGCTGTTGTTTATGTTGAGTTGAAGGTATACTTTGTTTTCTGCTTGATATGTGTGCATTTTCTTCTGTTACATCTGTGTTTCGTTTCATGTGCTGTTGCATTCCACACGCTCTTTGTGTTTTGTTAGATGTGGATACATAATGCATAGCATTGCAAGTAGATTTTGTTTTGTTGTGCATGTTCTGTTACAATGCATACACAAATTGTAGCATCTTGCATAGCAGCATTAGTAGTGTTATGCAACATACCTGAGCACTAGTGATGGAAGCCACAGGCTGGCTGTGTCTGGCCCAGTGTTTTTAAATTTTTTTAAAATGGAATTAGTTACTAATATTTAAAAATGGAAAGGTTTCTAGCAAAATCAGATGACATTTTCTCTTTTTAAAAAACTAGAAGACCTGATAATATTGATCCTACTTTCCCATAAGACAATACTCAGCAGGAGTTGAGGATGGCTGCCCGCTACTGGTAAGGCAAACATTATGCGATTGGCCACAGTCCTCAGTATTCCCTATCGTTGTCTCACTTTGATACTGAGGTTTAGCTGCCGTCTCACGTCATTTGTGCTATTTTTTTCTCATGTCCCGCCTGCTGCACCCACTCCCATTTCCTTTCTGCCTTCCATAGTCATCTAGGTTTGCACCTCCCGGCTTATGAATGCACAAAATCTGGATGCTCTTTTGACAAGCCCAAAAAGGGCTGGCAAGGGAAGAAAGTGCAGACCCCACTGAGACGTCAAGAACCCACGCGTTTTTCTAAACCTGCTTGTGGTGCAAGGAAGTAGCCCCCGGGGGTACTGACCCTGCTGATGGAGAAGAGCAACCCAGGCCGGTCGGAGCACACGCCCGTGAAACAGAAGCGCAGCTTCCAGTAGAAGAGGTGCTCCCAGATGAAGGTGATGAGGCTAAGGGCCATGGCCGCGGCCAGCATGTAGAACACGCCCGCCATGTTGTCAATGTCCAGCTGGCTGCTCATCACCTCGTTCTTCTCGTTGTGGCAGATCCCCGTGAGCCACAGGGTCTCCAGCTCCTCCATCTCACCTAGACAGGATACAACATTCATAGGCAGTGAGGACCAGAACATGCATTTTGGGGCAGACATTTCTGGGTTTGGAACAGACGATGTGCAACTCACAGCTATGTAACTATAAGGCAAGTTTCTGAGTTTGCTGATTCTCCATTTGGTCACTTTTTGAGTGAAGATAATAGTGATTACGAAGCCTACCTAATATTGTTGCAGTGATGAAATTTATATATAAAAATAGAGAACATATATATATAGAGCAGACAGAGTACAGCAAGGTTATTCTCTATTAATATATATTTATATATTTTATACATACATAATATATATAACTTAGCACAGTTCCTGGTTTTGGTTTCAGTTTTTGGAGTTTTGTCTTTTTTTTTTTTGGTCATTATTATGTTTTTCTGACCTTGCTTTTCCCTACCCCTGCCCCCAACACCCACCCAAGCTTTGAACAAGACATGGGAATAAAAGCGCAGAATGTGCAATAGAAAGACTTCATTGCAATTCTGACTTCATCATCTGCTAGCTGCATGGCCTCAGAGCTACAGTTGTCCTGTCTGTGAAATAGGCATAATAATAGAACATACTTCCTCTATAGAGTTGCCATGAGGATCAAATGACATGAGAATGTGTAAAATCCCTAAAGGACCCAGATCATAGTAAGTTTCATAAGTAGTATGTTTGCTACTATTTATTGTTGTGAAGAAAATGCCTAACACAGTGCCTGGCCTATGGCAATCCTCAAATATATTTCTTTTTTTTCTTTTTAGAACATTCAGGATTACTTAGAAAAGTCACACATGAGCAGTATACTTAGAGCACAAAACTTTAATTGAAAAGAGACATCCAGCTGGCTCTGAATGGACCCTTGCAAACTAAAGTATCCCCACCCCCCAACTTCAGTAGGCAATTAAATAACCAGGTGGTTTTTTCCAATGGGGGAAGAAAACAGTAGGCATGCTTAGAATTATTCTCTCTCTTCTATGTGCATTTTATCCAGTTGCCATTTAGGAGAAAATCCTCTGATCTAAACATCTAGCAATTATATACTAACTGTCTAGCAATTCACTAAACTATGGTACTTAGACTATGATTCAGCCTTTAAAAATGATCTTTCAAGGACAGTAAAAATCAAGGAAGATGCATATGTTAAATGAAAAGTATGACTATATTTTATATGTATATGTATATACATGATGTCTAAGATGTAATGGGGACATGCTGAGAAAAATTAAGGAAATACTCTGAATGTTTATATCAATTCTTTTTGAAGAAGTCAATCATAATGATTGATTTAATATTGGTCTTTAAGTTATGTGAAATTAGCATGTATTGTTTTTGGTTTGTTCTCAATCTTGAATGATATGACTGAATATAAAAATCAAAGTTGACAATTATTTTTCCTTGACCTTTTAGGATGTTAAATTTTCTTCTGATCTGGATGGCAGTTGTTGAAAAGTTGGCTAATCATCTTATTATCGTTACTTTCTATGTAATCTATATTTTCTCTCCAGTTGCTTTTGAGAATTTCACTTTGTCATTGGTGTGAAGTCTAGGTGTGGTTTGTTTTATTGGTTCAGCTCTGGACTTAGTATGATTTTTCAATTTGAATACTTACAACTTTAGTTCTGGCAAAAATTCACCTACTGTGGCTTTGAACATTACTTCTCCCCATCATATCTTTTTTAAAAAAGTTAATAGATTTTATTTTTTAGAGTGGTTTTATAGTTACAGAAAAACTGAACAGAAAGTACACAGAGTTCCCATATACTACCTCTCCCCGCTTCCTTCAGTTTTCCCTATTAATATCTTGCATTAGTGTGGTACAGTTTTTACAATTCGTTTGGGTAAATACCTAGGAGCATTATTGCTAGAATATGCAGTAAGTCTGTGTTTCAGCTTTGTAGGAAACTGTCAACCTTTCTTCCAAAGTGGCTGTACTATTTTGCACTCCCATCAACAATGAATGAGAGAGCTCCTATTGCTCCAAGTCCTCACCACCCTTATCGTTGTCAGTGTTCGTGTTAGCATTTGGGGTTTTAGCCACTCTCATAGGGATGTAGTGCTCGCTCATTTTTTCAATTCTCAATTCCCTAATGGCATCTAATAGTCCCATCTTTTTTTTTTCCTGAAAACTTTAAAATACTGTAGACCTTTTCATTCTCTCTTCTAGGTTATTTACCTTGTTTTAATATTTGCATTCTTTTTTTCTCTCTGTGCTGCATTTGGGTGATTTCCAATAGATAAATTTTCACATTAATTTATTCCTTTGTTAATAATATTTAGCTTTATGTTTTAATTTTATTTTAATTGTGATACTCATTTGGTTTTTTTTACAGTTCTGCCTGTTCTTTTTGTCATAATATCCCACCCTTTTATGATTTTCAAAACTTTTCTATATTTAATAGTTTTAAACCTCTAGTCTTTCAGATGACTCCCCCGAACCCCCACCTTAGTTCTTGGGATTCTCATCCCTCTGTTTGCTGCGTGTTCTGACTCTCATGGTGGGTTACTTCCTTGTGACATCTGTAACTTTTGACCATGAGCTAATCTTCTGCCAAATTATTTTCCCTCTAAGCCCCATGGGACTCCCAAGAACACTAGGCTATAGAAACATCCCTACAGAGAGTTTCTGGGTTTGCTTCTGCCACGGTTCCATGGTTCCAGGAATTTTCAATGGATGAGTTTTTGTATGGAAAAATTTTTACTTTGATTACTACACCATTTAAGTAGCATGCATTTGAACTCACATGCTCATTTGGGCTTTACTTTCTTACCGAGAGCTTCAAACAGATGGTAAACCTCCTTGCATTTTCTTCACTTTGATGGACAGAGATTTTCCTAGTTTTCTTTTTACAGACTAAGTGACTCATGAAAGGTCTCGAATGTATTAACCAGAAAAAAGCATACATGCTAATAACGTTTTTTACAAAATAGGAAATCCATCCCCTTTCGAGTTTCTCACACTCAAAAATGGGTGCTGATCAATCAGTCATGTAGGTAAAGGGATGAGAAGAGGGTATCTTGATTCAATTCCTTTTCTTCCAACAGCCTCCCATACTTCCACACAATCAAAAAGGTCATGGGAGACTTTGAAATAATATTTCACTGTCCACCAACACTGTCTCAAACTCATCCAGATTTCTCTGCCCACCATGTACCTCAGACCTGCACGACTGCTTCCTCTTCTCACAAAAACACCAATGCCATTCCTTTCAAAATACAATGTGCTATTGACTTCCCCCTCCCTTTGGAGGTGTTCTGTTTTGTTTTGTTGCCATGGGGTCTCACTCCAGTCACCCAGGCTGGAGTGCAGTGCTGCGATCATAACTCCTTACAGCAGCAACTTCCTGGGCTCAGGTGATCCTCCCACCTTAGCCTCCGAAGTAGTTGGGACGACAGGCACACACCACCATGCTGTGCTAAGTTTTTGTATTTTTAGTAGAGATGAGGTTTCACTATCTTGCCCAGGCTGATCTCAAACTCCTGGGCTCAAGCAATCCACCTGGCTCAGCCTCCCAAAGTGCTAGGATTACAGGCATGAGCCACTGTACTCAGACCCTTTGGAGTCTGTGAGGACACAAAAATGGGTCTTCTCGCTATAACTCATCAGATTCCCAGAACATCTTCCTTTCGGTGTTACCCCAAAGAAAGCCAGGTTTGTAAGCCTGTAAGGAGGGCAGTCTGATACAAGAAACATCATCTTGATTCCTTTCAGGATGTAAATAAAAAGATTTCCTTCTGCCCTTTGCCCAAACAATACCTCTTTTTAGAGGAAGTCAACCTGGTAAAGCAGACTCCAATTTCAAAAAAAAAGAGCAAATGCACATTTCTCATTACCAATTACAGCCTGTTCCAATCATTTTCAAATCTATCATTTCCTGCCTCGTGGCCCTCTTTGACTAGTGTACTGAACTATAGTTCAAATACTTTCTTATTTCATTTTTAATTTACTCAAGTATATTGTAATCTCCTGGAGGGAGATCAGGGACCATGTTTTATGGTTTTGATATTTTTCGTGGCCTGCAGCACGTAGTGAGCATTGAATCCATATTTTCTGTTTCTGTTTCTTTTCTTATATCCCCAGGCTTAAATTGGGCAGCGTTGCAGAAGTGTTCAAATCTGTTTAGTGAGTTATTCTGCCATATAAATAGACGGAATACAAAGCAAAGGGGAACCCGCAGCGGGCTTGAGAGTAAAAGGCTGGGAAATGTGCATTCTTTAGGTAGGGTGAAGCATCAAATGTCATTTTTCCAAGGAGTGGCTCTATGATATTCATTCTGCTGTCAGTTTCTCCTATTAAAAAGGCCGTGATCTTTGTCACTGTGATCTTGTGAACTAGAGCTGGTAAATGGGACAATTAAATCTCTTTCCTGAGGCAGACGCATTCTTGCTGGGAAGACACAAGCTAAATGCTCTCTTGGGAACAGATGGAGCCTGGGAAGTTTTGGGGTTGCAGTCAAACCACACTGCCTTTGTCTCCCCACTGGAGAGGACTGGTCCCCATGTAATGCTCAAAGCCCTCTCCTTTTGTGTTTCCACTTCCTCCAATGACAGTAAGCTCATGTACATTTGCAGAACTTCTTTGTGCCCGTGGGAACTTGCACCTGTTCTTCCTGTATCTGTTTTCAGGGGAGATGTTTCCAGCCACAAGTATCTCTGCCAACCACTTAGTTCTGCACCATCCTGAGGAAAGCTGTAAGTTCAGTAGAAGGAGCAAGTTGTCAAAGTCACTCTTTTCCTAATGCTTGCAACATTAAAAGACAGAGTAATAGAGTTTCAGGTGTCAACCGTCAGAGAGATGCAGAATCTAAAAGGGAACAGGCAAGGATAATTGAGGCAGTGTTGTGTGTGTCTCCAGCTTGCTTCCATTGGCTGCTTGGGTGAGTCTGTAAGAAGGCTGGTTAGACAAAAGGTACAGACAGGATGCAGACAGTGCAGGAGTTTATCCCATTACCCATCCACCCACTGGCAAGGAAGAAGCCAGAGGTTTTATATTTGCAAAAAGGAA